TCATTCGATTTCTAACGATCACTTTGGTAGTAAGTTGCATGTGCAGTAAAAAAATCGCCTTACAAGGGGTGCAGCGGAGGCATCAAAGCATGCACCGAACTGTTGTAGCACGGAAACTACGGGCATCGAATCCAAGTGCTTTTTGGCGATATTTGTTTTTCGCTCTGTGCAAGGCAAGATTTTTAATATTATAAATTAAAATGCATATGAAAGAAAACTTGAAAATGTCCTCTGTCAAATGGGCATAAATACGTGCACGTGCGTTCAAGCAATTTTTCCTACAAAGCGATTAGAATCATGACATATTTTCGCGAACACCCTGTATTGTCAGTGACAAGATTGTCATTGGAGAGCTTTTTGAATTATCTTTTCCTATTTTTTGTTTCAGGATTTATTATTTTACTCATAAGTCATTGAATACCTTAGGCTTGTTTTTGGACATGTTTTTCTCTACAATGCCTTCCAAGGTTTTTGTTTAATAGAAAATAGGGAGATGCTGAATCAACTCTCCACTCCACCCAAGGCTATAGAATTGACTCCACCCTTATCACAGGGCGTCCCAGCTGCCGGCTCCGTCCTCGCTGCCCCGGCCGGCGCTGCAGCTGCCCTCCTCCGGCGCGGTGCTGGCCGCCGTCCGACAGCTGGGCAGAGTGGAGAGCACGGTGACGGTGGCAGGGGTGAGGACAGAGCCGCGGCCCGGCGCCGTGCTGGTCTCCTGGGGAACGGTGAGAGGAGGAGAGGGAAGAGGGAGAAGGAGGGGAGAGAGGATGGATTGAGTGAAGGAATGGTGGGATGTTCTGTGCAAGGCTGCAGAGTCGATGGATTTTTGGTGGCTTTGACTCCTAGTAGTCGCAGTCTCCGACTCTGGCTTCAAAAATCGACTTCGACTCCGACTTTACAGCCCTGGATCACTGTGCTGTAATCTGGGGATAAATGAGTGATTTGGGGGTGAGGAGTTTTAACCATGACTTGTTATATTGGGAGCAAAACACCATGAGTCAATAATGACATGCATCTCCATGTTCTGGATATTATGCCTACATTCTGTCGTCCCCAGTATGAGGACGACTGTGACCCGAGTGAAGGGGACGGCTCATACCGTCTCCAGTACTGCTACGGAGACGCCAACAAACAGACTTCGCCCGTCTTCCATACGGCCTATGAAGGTCAGCTGATAGTGATGTGATGACTGTGTTGGGCCTTGTTTGTATGGTGTCTCATAGAATGATTTCTGTAGATATATTGGACAGGTATGTAGTAAAGAGCAAGTAGCATACGGATATATTCAAGTAGCATATTTATATGTAATTGCTACTTGAATATATTCGTATGCTACTTGCTCTTTATTACAGAATGATTTCTGTCACTGCTTTAGCCGTTGCTGGTTTTTTCACGCTATATCTGGCTACTCGTCATCTTATTACTGGTTACTTTAGGTCAAGTTCTTGGCCTTTCCATCTGGGTAGGTACTTTCAAATGCACCCTCGACATTGGTCCAGTCATCCCCTTGCCATTGGTCAATGACAGCCCCCCCCCCCCCCGTGGCAACAGGTCCGGAGACGAGCACGCTGGTTCGTCGTCTGCAGTGTGACGTCATCTATAGTTTCCGCGTCAGCCGCCAGGTGTCGGCCGGGGGAGCGTGGGGCGGCTGGAGCCCTCCCGTCACCGGTGCCACCACGTTGCCCCACTACGGTAATTGAACAATGAACAGAGAGAGGGAGGTCAGAGGGACAGCGACACAGTAAAAAAAAAAAAAAAAATTGATACTAGTCCGGGTAGTCTTGATCTCGGTTATGCTCACACTACTTTGCCTTGCGATTGCTTCAAGTACGCTCATTCCTCCCGTCTTCTTTCAGAGTGGTCGCCCAGTCCCGCCTACTCGATAACAGACTCGGGCCGTATCGCCTGCCGTACCGGCGACGGTGGCGACACCTATACAGGTGGTGACAGCGTCATCTACAGTGCGGGCGCGCAGTTACGGCCGGGCGCCGCTCTGCGGGTAGCTGTAGTGGAGGCCGGGTCCGGCTGCAGTGATGAGGGCCTGGCGCTGCTGGATGGACGGCCGGACCAGGGAGAGGATGGCGCTCTTATAGGGAAAGGAGCTCTGTTCGTCAGCGCTACTGGTACGTCACGTAGTTAATCATGTTACGATCCGCCTCTAAGAGTTGTCTGTAAGCCTATTCCTCTGTCTAGAGTGATTCAGAAGGCTTCGAGCTTCATGTTTGTTTGGTATAATAAGGCCATAGGATTCTAACGACATTTTCGTCTTAACTGACCTCATCATAAGTTTGCATGACTGAAACAGACACTCAGAAAGTCTCGAGTCACAGACCTCGCATAGCTTCTCACCAGGCCGCTCACCGACCAGCTCCACTCAAACTCACAGTTCACTGCCCCTCTCACCCCCGTTTCTCACCCCTCTCTCTCACACACAGGTGAGGTGTACGTGAACGGTCGGCGGCGTCAGATGCGTCTTCCCCCGCTACAGGCCGGCTCCTACCTCACCTTCAGCACTGAGAGGAGGGACCAGCAGACCACGCGGGTCTGTCTGGAGACCGGCGACAAACAGGTAGGACCATGGGACCATGCAGACCAGAAACCAGGAGACCACCAGGGTCTGCCTGGAGACCGGCGAGAAACAGACGAGACGACAGACAGTAGGGACGGACAACAGACTGTACAGTGGGACCAAATGATTCTAGGACAATTAAACCACGCAGTTGTGAGTTGGAAAATATTTACAGCCTTATTTGAGTGTGGAACCAGGATGTATTTCTGTACCTAAACAATTCAGTTGAACCATTCAACATTTCAAAATTGTTGAATTAAGTTGAATTAAGTTGAATTAAATGAGTCATATGATAAGATATCACCCAACGGCAGTCGTCCCAAGCCCCGACAGTTTGATCTCGTTATAACAGCTGTACCTCCCATCTCCTTTCGATAGGTGGTTTACGACTGGAAAACCGAGTCGACCGATCTATGGCTGGCAGCTTCATTTAACGAGCTCGGCTGGAAACTAATGCTCGAGTGACGTCATTGGTCACCGGTTAGTGACGTCAGTGGATCACATCGCTCGCTGATTGGACGCAGGTGATGTGACGTCATATGTTGGATCTGGGGTGATATGTGGATGACGAATTGGGTGAATGAAAGTGGAGACAATATCGCAGAAGATTGAAAACTATGAAGTCGTGCTGCCGTGAGAACGGGAGATCTGACAATTATCATTCACCGCTGAATAGCGGACTACAGAGGTCTATGAAACTACGAATTGAGCTGACGTCATGCATCTGTGCCTAGATCTGTATCGTGATACTGCAGTGCCAAATCAATGTCGTAGCAACTTTTGGTGTAGCGAATTTCATTTCACCACGCCTGATATTTATATTGAGCTTATAATTGGCATCGGGAAACAGCACAATTCTCATATTTTGCTAGACATGAAAGGCAAGATCGGTCTCCATACACGAAGCTAGTGGTACCGTACCCTCGTCATACATTGATGAGAATGTGCATGCGATTGAGGTGTTCGATTTCGTGAGAGGTTCACATCCTCACCGGTCCCTCAGCTGTGATTGGAGGTTGTCTTGTCAGCGGTCTGTTTTGTAATAATCGCTGGGTTGCCCAGTAAAGTGCCATGCTGTAATGCTAATTGTAGATATATTTGCAAAGTAAACGCTCAACACAAACGGTTTTCCGCCCAATGCGTCCATAGTCAGCCTTTATTGCCTGTTTACTTGCATATTTTGTGCAGTCACAAATACGCGTTATCTGAGGGTGACTTTTGCCGTGGTTTGCCAGTAAAAACGCGTGTGTTTATGAAGTTACGTAACATCCAATTAAGCATCGCTTTGGCGTTGAGTCTGTGCCTTTACTTACCCTCACCGGTTTGGATTATTCCGACGCTGTCGGAGTTGATTTGCACTGTTAGCTTGTCAGGCCTTTACGATAAAATCGGGAAAGTAGTGCCAAATTGCAACCAAACTATAAACCAAAGGCTGTGCACGGCATTGCGTAGTGCATATAGTTGGGCAATAACATTCTCCATATTACTACTCTTATTTAACACTTGCTTATGTACCAGTATAGCGCCTTTTGGGGCGACTAACGGAGCGAGCGAGGGGGTGACTCTTGCACGTGCGAAATTTTGAGGGGGTACCTCCAACTGACTTGTGCACGGCACCCTACTGACCGGTTTCTAGCGATGTGCCAAATTTGAGCACAATCGGCCCAGCCGTTCTCGAGATCTGGGAGCGGCACCCTGCACGTGCGCACGTGCAAAATGGGTCCCAACTGACTTGTGCACGGCACCCTACTAACTGGTCCCTAACCGTGTACCAAATTTGAGGGCCATCGGTCCAGCCGTTCTCGAGATCTGGAAACGACCCCTGCACGTGCGCACGTGCAGCAGCACCCCAACTCTGGCACATGGATATGCAGTGCCTAGTGGGTGCCTACCTACATGCCAACTTTCAGCGCAATCGGCCAAGTAGTTACCGAGATATTGCAACAATTACAAAACTGACACCTCTTCGTTTTGCACGTGGCACGTGCATAAGGGGTCACCCACATGCATCGGGAATAGTCCAATACTTGGTAGAAGGAATGAAGCTACCCTACAAAAATTACCGCGTGTAAATCGGTCAAGTGGTTGCTGAGATATAAGCCTCGCAAAAGCGTCCGCACGGCCGGCCGGCCGGCCGGCCGCTCATACTCAGAAATTTCCGTTATTCTACGTAAGACTCCGCTCGCTTCGCTCGCTCCGTAATAATTTGTTCTGCTGTGATGTCGTAACCCACTGAGGCTTGCCCGTGTTTAGTGCAGTGATCTGATCTGGCCATCTGAAGCCAGGGGAAGGTGATACTACATAGTGATGCAGTGTTTAATATGGACTGTTGGGAGGGTTGTATCAGTTCAGAGTCGTCCCTCATCATCTACTGAGATACTTGTGAAAATGTCGATATTCTGTATCAACAACGAATACATATGGAACGATATATGCGGCAACGAGTTTTCATTGAACGTCATATGAAAACATATACACAAGGTGGCCGGCATGTGAGCACTGAGAGCACATCGCAAAATTAATCAATGCATGAAGCAACCGACGTGAAAGTTACGATGGTGGTATACATAATACATATACCTTAATATAACATGGCAAAGTTCGACACGATAAAACTCATTTTGTGACTATCTCCAATCCAAGCAATGGACAAGCTATTCCGCAGCACCAAAGTTGCCTTCCTAGCGCAACTACTGTAACGTTAAGATACTCGATAGATAAGCTTTCTTTCCACTCTTTCTCAAAATATCATCGATGAACTCAGGCACCTCACCTCTTTCAGTTTGCTCACTCCGGCATTGGCTCCTTATGTGTCCCCGCTCTCACCCTTCACTCCTCTGATTCTCTTTCTCTCACAATCTTTCCGCACCTTATCACACAGCTAAACGTTCCATAATCCTCCCGATTTTCAACGCCTTCGTCTTCACTCGTTCATCCTCCGCCGTTACCAAGTTTCCTACGGCCTCCGCCAGGGCGGCGCCACTGTCCGCGCCGGTCGGCCCCGCCTGCAGTAGACAGTCGAGTAGCACCAGCGCCCTCAGACGTGTGACGTCACTGGGACGAGTCAGCTGATCCACCAGCGCTGCCGTGACGTCACCACCGCCAGCGGCCGTCAGCCTGCGGGCGGAGAGGCCGCACGGTGATACCATGAATGGCGTGGCCAGAGCTTTTCGATGGGGGGGGGGGGCACGGTGGGTCCGCCCCCCCCCCCTGCAGATGGACCCCTCTGAATAAACGGTCTTAGAACTTAAGGGAAAAGTGGGAAATTGTGGAGTACAAATATGATGTGTTTGCCTGAGGAGTGTGCATATAATGCACGATATTTTAGAAGGTCTGGGTCTCGCAGCGCCAGAGATTGCTATTGTTGATGTATTTTTTTTTTTAACAGCAAATTGCAACGATCATTTGAGCCACGCTACTCACCAAAACTTTCTTCGTTTGGCGTTTGGAATACTTTCCACTGAGAATGTTCTCAGTTCTCAGTCCGGACGGGACGACCCTGTGTATCCTCTCCATGTATCAAACCACGTATCCCGTATCCACTATATGTATCCACTTGACGGACCCATGTATCCACTGTCGCCGGACGCAGCCAGGGTCGCTGCCACCGCCAGACTGTAGGGTGGCGGTGGCTGATTGTCAATGGCCGTCACGGAACTGTAGTCCGGCGGGGGAGTGTCACCCCCGCCACTCTCAGCTGAACTCAGGCCAGGTCGCCGGTCAGAGATGTCATTGCGCAGCAGTTTGGAGTAAATGACGTACACAATCACCACCAAAAAGACGAGACCCAGAACGGCACAAGCGAAGAAAATAGTGACTGTAGGTCCGGCAAATCCTAATGCAAACGTCACTCCTCCAACTACAATTCCATACAGTACACCACAGAGCACAGTTAGCACCGTTTTAACGTTGACTTGTCTCACGCTGGACACAATTCTAGCCCAGCACGAGTCTCCTGCTGTTTCTCCGCTGCCAGTGTCCTCGTCTCGGGGCTGGTGCAACTCGCCTGGGTCACCGACCTCTTGCCTCGCCGCAATTACCGTAGCCATTGGTCGGCCTCGTGGCACCAATGTATTACAGCTGAGGTGTTATCGATGTGGCTTTCTGCTAAAAGAGATGGCCCTGTTTGACTACAGTGTATCACCGCCGTATCACTAGTGTTTGTTCCATGAATTATATCCTCGGGTCGCTACAATTGTTCGCTGGCAGCGCAACTCATTCACCTTGTCATCAGTCATTTCTTTCTGCTTATTGTCCAGCTTTCGCAGTCCGGTTTCAGCTGGGTTCTTCAAACATGCTTTAAGCACCACCACCGTTTTATCGAACCAGTAGAGGAGCTATATCGAGCTATATCGAACCAGGAGCTATATCGATAAACGGTTATCTTTCTTCAGAGTGGTATCCGTTTGCCTTCTTGTGTAGCCGGTTTCATTATTTTAGCCACATGCCCACTAAATGGTCCAAGTTTTGGGACCACCATCATCTGCCCACTCCCCTTTGAGCACTGACCTCTGGCCACCGTCTTCTGACCAATGCCCTCTTACCACTTATCTTCAACCACTGTTCTGACCAGGGCTGCGGAGTCGATGGATTTTCGGCGACTCCGACTCCGACTCCGACTCCGGCTTTCAAAAACCAGCTCCGACTCCGACTCCGACTCCGGGCAGAATTGTCGACTCCGACCGACTCCAACTCCCGACTCCGACTCCGCAGACCTAGCAGGGCTGCGGAGTCGACAGGTTTTCGGTGACTCCGACTCCGACTCCGGCTCGGGTTTCTAAAATCGACTCCGACTCCGACTTCGACTCCGGTCACAACTGTCGACTCCGACCGACTCCGACTCCGACTCCGACTCCGCAGCCCTGGTTCTGACCACTATCTTCTGATCACTGAACTCTTGTGACGCTCCTTTGACCACAGCTGCCATCGGTCTGACCTGTGACCACCGTCTTCCTGTAAGTCAATCTACCGTCTGTTGCAACCTCCTATCGCCATCCACACTCCACAGCTCACCAGCCTGATCTCGTGCACAATCACTTCCTATCGGTCCGACACCAGATAGTCCCAGTGGGTATAGTGACGTATGTAACCATGTCTGACATGACAATACCCGAGTCAATGTAGAGCGCAGTATAACCCCCCCCCCCCCCATCTGGCTCTCATCATGCTGCACCGCTATAAACACATGGCGAAGGCTCGCAGAGACAAAATATAAGGACGTCATTTCATAGCGTCCTAGAAAAGTCATTCCAGGCACTAAATAGTTCTTTCAGCCTAAAATTAGTTGGAAAAACAATAATACCAACATGGACGTCAGTGGTTATGATCAGGAACATCAGTGACTTTAATGGCATCAGTGATATCAGTGGCGGTGATGATTGGACAGTGATTTAGTGAGAGGCCAGAATTGAGAATGGGCACCGTTTTTACTTTTTATATTGGCCAGAGGAAAGCCAGTTGAAAGACTAAGCTGAGATGATAGTGTTCGGAAGAGCGTTGGCTGAGGACAGTGGTGAGACGACCGTCATCAATTAACTGCAGTCAGATGACGACCGTTAGGTTAGAATCCAGTGACATGGGGTCCTCACAGACGCCGTTATGGGCCCTCATAAACACTCGTGTGGGACCGTCACAGACGGGTGTGGGGCCCTTAGAGCTGCTGGCGCGAAACCTTTACAAGCCGGCTGGGGGCTCTCTGAGACCGGCAAAAGGCCCTCAGAATATGCTGGCAAGGGGCCCTCAGAGGCCAGCAAGGGGCCCTCAGACGCCGGCGTAGGGCCCTTATGGATATAAGCTTGACTACTTAGGAGCCCATGAGGTTCTTACGAGCCCTGTGGGGCCCTTCTGAGTCGAAATACGGCTTGTGTGTACCCCCAGCGGACATTAATGGCGTCGGGCCCCGAGGGTCCCGTCCCCCAGAACCCGATGGGGGGGGGGGGACGTGCAACCTGTGCCCCCTGGCTACGGCACTGACAATGACAAAGTCCCTTTTACCGTATCCGTAATGGTGTAACCGTTTTCCCACTGTATTCCTAGTCCGTATTCACGTCCCAGCAGCTATAGTTATCGTATCCCTTTTCACCGTAATCCTAATAACTGACTGCAGTTAATTTATCAGCGGGCCAACAGTAATGCAGTGAGCATACTGACAAACTGTTACCTGTCAGCCAGCTGGACGGCGTCCACCAGGGAGATATGGTGTCCGTGGTGGTCACTGCAGAACTGGCCGATGGCCACCACCTCGGGAGATACCGGAGACCTGCCGGGCGGGAGGAGGACCGACCGGGCAACTGGGTCAGATGACGAAAAACAACGACAAAAGGTGGATACACTGGATACAGAGGTAAGCGTTCATAAGACTAAGTTGAGATGGATACAGCAATGAGTGAATCAATGAATCAATCAATGAATGAATCCATGAATGAACGAATCAATGAGCGGAAGTATGAATGAATCAACCAGCACAGCAATTAATCAATGAACGTCTTCATACACTAACCGACTGGCTGATCCAATGAACGAAAAAAAATCAAATTAAAAACGAATAGGCCCCCAATCCGCACATCAATCCAATGACGTCAAACTGACCTGGCGGGAGCCTCGTCGGCGTCGTCGATGGCGGCGGCCACGTCGGAGCCGACGCTGACGTCATCCACATCAGCTGGCTCGTCGTCTGACTCCTCCCAGCCGCCGCCGGCCCGGCCCGGGATGTGGCCTGAGGGCAGGGCAGGGCAGGTCAGGTCTCGCTTATTCATTGGTGACGTAGGATTTGGCCGTGGGGTAGGTCAGGTCAGTAACTGACCTGACCTAAAACCGACAGCTGTTCTCGGTTTTACAGTGGTGATTTGGGACTGATAATTCTGGGAACGGGGATAAGGACTGAAAATCCTCGCACGCATCAGTAACTCGATATTTGACCCTGCTCTCAATGTCGCGCCGGGTTGGGTCACTATGTTAGTTCCGACACATAAAGGAGGTCTAGAGTCATGTGATTGATCTTGAGTGTGACAGAGTGTGGTAGAGTGTAGGTTGGTTAAATCAAAATATTACAGTGGCTTAGACTGTGCGATTGAGACATAATGCGATAAGATATACTAAATGATACAATACAGCTAGCCTGACGCCTTCCTCTCCTCAGCCTTACCTCTGGCTGGCGGCTGTCTGGCCTGCCGGGGTGGGGCCGCGCCCGCTCTGCGCAGCGGCACGGGCAGCTCCGGGCCGTCCACAGTCGTCGACAGGCGCGGTGGCGGCTCGTACTGTCCGGCTGAGGTGGCGAACACGTCCGGAGCGGGCGGACCCGGGGACGGAGGGGAGAGCGCCTCCTCCATCAGACCCCGCAGTCGGGACGGCAGGCTGGCGCCGCCTGACAGGGAGGGAGCGGGGGATGAGGGGTGGGAGCACGAGAGAGGGGCGCTAGGAGAACAGAGCTCAAAATTGTTTACCCTCACCCTGATCGTTCAAAATCAGGAGCAAGTGCAGAAAACATACGTTGTGCCTAGACCACCGTAAATGGTGCCACATCGCTATTTATAACAAGAAATCACCGATGCCCTGCAGTGTACACGTCACGATCTGCACAAAATCCTTTTCCCCAAACATATCCCACCCATTCCCATCAAAACTAACCATTACCGATAGAACTAAGTCCTTTCTACCCCTCTGGTCATGACCTACCCCTACCCATTCCCTTACCCGTCCGTTTGGCGGTGCTCACACCGAACCCTTGGTACTGTCCACCGCCACCAGGTGACAGCACCGGTCCGAGACCAACCATCGGCGACCGTGGCGCCCTCTCCGTGACGTCATCGGAGGCAGAAAACAGCAGCGACAGCAGCTCCTGCGCGGGAGCGAAGGATATGTTAGAAGCTACGGCCTACGTGATAGGGATTGATGCTATGAGCTAAATTACCGCGGTATTGTGAGAAGCAAATAAGCTATAAGCTATTGCTGATTGTGACCTACAAGGACCTACATACAGACAAATGTCGATCATAAGACAAAAAACATGTCAAACTGAAATTAAATGTCATCATCAATGGACATGCCGTTTTGCCTCTGTATACCAAGAGGTCACACAGTTTCTCGTACGATGAGTACGCATGTTTATTGATGGACATTATTTGGTCGATGTCTACACCAATGAATATGACACCCACCCACCTAAGTTAGCTCCCCCGCCAGACCCCATCTCTGTCCACCGCCCTCACCTGAGCGGTGGAGCGGACCCAGAGGTGGGGCGTCATCCCCAGCACGGGATCCGGCGGCCCGGAGGCGGCGCTGGCCGCCGTGACGTCACCGTCACGTGACCGCAACAGCTGGCGGAACTCTGCGTGACCGTGACGGGCGCAGTAGAGCATCACGCGTAACGTCTGTGACGAGAGGAGAACAGAAGGTATCACATCACTCAAAGCACGTCACATATTCAAGAGGCATCACGCCAATGATGTGTTGTTTTGCGCTGGACTGTGAGGACCGGTGACTGGGCAACTAGGCCAGTGTCTGTGTGCCTGATGACAGTGAGACGCCGTATACTCGCGTCTCACTGACACCGGTCCGCGGTATACAGTGAAAAACACCCTACTCGACCGAATGAAAATACAGCTGACCTCAGGTGAACGTCACAACGTGTGTGATGACTGACAAACAACATGAGTCATAATACATTACTGGAATGAACTTCTAGTTCTAATGCCCAGTTTCATCATTTCTTTGGAAGAAGAAGGAGAATAAATGATCTTGAAATGCTAAAAGAACAACAATGTAAACTTTCAGCTGGGAAGAGCATTCATTTGAGAGCAAAGTGAGCAACTAGCAAGTGAAGTGAAGAGCAAGTGAGAGCATTCATTTATTAGTAATACAGGCAATACCAATACAGGTACACTGCAATGCCCACCTTGAGTTTGACAGTTGGAGATGAGGCAGTCTGCAGCCTGGTCACAAGAAACTCGACCAGCTTGGCAGACTGTGCGGGTGCAGTCAGCGTCAGCTCTGCGGACCATGGGGAGAGGTCACTACTCATTTGCTGTGTGCTGTCACTGAGTGGAAACAATGCAATGCAGTGATAGGGAATCAATGACCATTAAACTAGGTACCACATTCTCATGATCAATTGGAGTATGTATAAGCCAAGGTATACAATATGATTGAAGATGCTTCTAACTACCTAGGTATAGATAAGATGATCACAATGCCTGTTTGTTACAAATAAGCCAATACATATGCCATAATTAATTAAGGTCATTGTGATGAGTTAACTAATACCCAGCTTGACCAGTTGATGACCATAGTCAGTCACATCCTGATCCTGGCTATATCTAAGATATGTTTATGTTTCACAGTTCACACCTGCAATATTATGGAGCAGATATCCAGGAGTTGGACTTGCATCATCTGAAGTTGCCCTCATCAGGTCTGGATACTGTAACAACAAAGATAAAGATAAAGCTAAATATCAACATCAATCACAGTGATCACAATCTTTATTTCATATCAAAAGCTAAGGATTATTCTTTCAATGCAAATGAATTATCAAACCACACAACCTGTAAGATCCTGTAGTTTTGTAGGAAAACTATTGCATAAATCAATTTCATCATCAAAGTCAGCGAAGTCAGAAAAAATACTTAAGTCTGTTTAATTGATGACGGTGGATCACTTCAACCGCACAAATGAATACGGCATGTGATTAACAAAACATTGAACAGAAGGTAAAAAGGAAATCAAGAGTAAGCAAACATTTTTAGCTGTAACTTTTAAAGGTAATGATGTTTCATGTGCACTTTTCACTAAAGAGCTTAAATCAATCAGCCATTGTTAATACAACAGACTATAACAGCATTTACCAAGCATTATTCTTTGTTCCACAAATTATCTTTAAAAAATATAAGAACATGTGTACGGAAAGCATTGGTAGTGCATTCAGTACAGCACTCAGGCCGCAAGCTTCATATGGAACAAACGGATATAGACACTTTGACTTAAATAAAATAGGGATAACTGATAAGTAGGAACCATTACACATCAACGTAACATTCAGACAAATTACAAGAAACTCCAAATTTATAATATAGACTATGCTGCATAATCAATCATATTTATGCTTCAGTCTTAGTACAGACGATACACGTATTCACATAAAATCTAAATTTTCACACATATAAGCGGCCATTTACGCGAAAGTGAATAAAAATAAGCAATTAATTCTACAAAATTCCTAATAAAGTACACTCACAAAAGAAAGGTAACTGAAAAGAACTTGAAGATCAGAAGACATATTAAAAAAATGGAAAATACGTCTAATCCCGAAGACAAGATTCTTGAAACAAACAGTATCAGCATAAGCAAAAATTTGTGTTCATTTTACCTTACGTTTGCTGTTGTCACTGAAGAGATATGATACTTTTTGAGTTAAAAAATGATTTTAACCAAATTATTGATGGAATACTTTATATGAAAGTCACTTATTATTTTTGATTCAATTACAAAACAGATAACATCAAAAAGCTGTTCAAATTTGGTATCATTGATTGGCTTATTTTCAGGATCTCCATGTTCATGCTCCCAGCGAACACATAAAATAGCTTTTGATTGTCACGTCCGCGTATTTCATGTATTTGATCAAGAGTTTCAACAAATACATCATGCCTATTTTTTGAACAAAAAAAAAACGGAATTTTCTCTTCAGTTTTTCAGTTCTTTTTTCTTCATGTGAAAATGTAAAAAATTATTTTTAGAAAGTAAGTTACATTTAAGCTTTTTACAAAAAAAAAACATTTCCTGCATCAAAAATGGAAGATCTTAGATATTAATTCTGGATAAAAATGCAGGTTTTATGGCTGTCAAACACAGGACTTTGAAAAAATCTTAGGGTTCATGATTTATTTGTTGACAACTTAAGGCCAACAGTGTTTTTAAGCCGAAAAAAATTGTCAGCCGCGGAATCATTCATCAAATGACGAACTGAAACCAATGTACTACCGATTTTTTGTACATTACCATGCAGCAATTCTGCAGGTCTAGTTCATTAGCTGACGGATCTGACGATTTGGTTCACTTTCGCTTGCGTTGCTTCTCTGTCTTCTCTGTGATGGGTGTGGGTGATTGAATCAGAGCATTTTTGATAGATGAATCAGCCCGAATTTCCTCTGGGAGTTGTACTTCACTGGCGTAAGTTGTGGATCGTTTATTTCATCTTGTTACCTAGGCGCCTATTAGGTAGGTATCATCGGAATTCGGAGTTGAACCGTGAACGCAGAGAATGGCTTTGAAAATTTGATGTTAGCATGGTTGAGTTTTATTTTCTCACCTTTGCTCTGTCTTTATAGGATCTGTGTCTGCCTGCGCAAAATATATCAAGGGTAGGTAATAGGTATCGTAACAATGGTGACATTTTTAAACTAGGCTTGAACTAGCCGAACTATAGCCCATCAGTGGCAGCTACTGCTCACTGCAGTGGATCAATGAATTAAATAAGCTCGGCCAACCTAGGTGCCTATTAAATTTGATATCATGTTTAGATAAATCATATCAACAGCCAATTTTTGCAATACTGCCTACACTTAAACTTTCTCAATGAAAATACCATAGAGTTGAATAGGTAATTTGCTAAACTAAATTCATTTAAAAACACTAATAAGAAAGGGCTTAGAATTTAGAAGTTTGTGTTTGTGCCTGACATCATGTGTGACCCTTGGACATGAAACTGCATTTTAACAGCTTCTTTTTCTCTTCACAGCTGACTGAAAGATAGCTACTTAATTGCCTTATCATGGACCCTACAAGGAAGCCTTCTGGGCTAAAGCCTCCAAGCAGACTGGTGAAACCCACTGCTGGGCTTCCAAAGCAGAATGGTGACTCTCATCACCCCAGCTGTGCCCAGGCTCAGGTCCCCGAAACTCCCAGGAAGGGGTCGGACGCCTCCATCCTGACCACTGACACAGCCAGTTACCGAGTGGGCGACAGGGTGTGGGTGAGTGGAATGAAGCCCGGGAGGATCATGTACATTGGAGAGACTCAGTTTGCACCCGGTGAGTGGGCAGGAATCGTGCTGGATGCAGCGGATGGGAAGAATAATGGTTCAGTGGCTGGTGTGCGCTACTTCACATGTGAACCGAACAGAGGCATCTTCTCAAGGCTGACAAAGCTTAGCAGGACTCCTCTGGCGGGCGCTGAAAGTGAGCTTCCCAAAGAGGGACCGTCCGTGCCTGGATCGAGACGGTCCTCCATCGCAATGGGAGTTCGCTCTGGCGGCACATCGGTAAAAAGCCCGACAGAATCGTTCGTCGCGTCGCCCAGCGAGGACCTCGAGATCGGCGACAAAGTGATCGTGTCCAGTAGCTCCGGATCAAAGACCGGCTTTCTGCGATACATGGGGAAGACTGACTTCGCTGATGGCCATTGGGCAGGAGTCGAGCTGGAAACACCTTCGGGAAAGAACGACGGCAGTGTGGCCGGCAAGCGCTACTTCTCGTGCCGTCCCAACTACGGTCTGTTCGCGCCTGCGCACAAGGTTGCGAAGCCGACCCGGCGCACGTCACAGAAGATGGGCGTCCAGTCGTTACGTCGTTCCACCTCTCGCGAGTCTCTCTCATCTGTCACAAGTCACGCATCGCGCGTGTCGACAGCTCGTGCAGCTGCGGCCACTCCACGCATGCGTGCTGCTAACGCAGCGGCGGCCTCTCCTAACCACGCACTGCAGAAGGTGCTGAAGGAAAAGGAGGAACACATCGAGCAGCTTCTGCGCGAGCGCGACATGGAACGCTCCGAAGTGGTCCGTGCAGCCAGTCTGGTCGATGACAGCGAAGTGCGGCTGTTGGAGGTGCGTAAAGAACACCAGCAGCAGCAGGCCGAGGCGGCAGCCGTGCTGGAACGTCTGGAGGCGCGTGTGGCCGAGCTCGAGGCCGAGCGAAGTCAACTACAGCACGAAGCAGAGGATGAACGTCACCGCGCCGAAGAACTTCAGTTCTCTGTCGAAGAAGCGAGTATCACTCGTACCGAGCTGGAGACACGCTTGGCTTCAGCAGAGGCAGAGGTGACCCAGAAAACTGAAGAGCTGCAGGCGGCGCAGAGCAGGGCAGACATGGCCAGCCTTCAAGCATCAGCTGGTGGAGATGCGACCCGCCTGGCTGCCGAGCACCTTAGTCAGCTGGAAAAACTCAGGGCAGAGATGAGCGCTGGGAAGGAGGAGGCTGAGAAACTGCGTGCCACGCTGGCTGAAAAGGACCGCTCTTTGGAGGAGCGCGCAGCGGAGCTGGCGTTACGGGAGAGAGCCGAACAAGTGGCTCGCGAGGAGGTGGCTCTTCTGAGGAACGAACTTGATGAGCAGCGAAGGCGGTTTGAGGATCAACGCGCTGCTGGAGACTCCAAGGATGAGGAGGCGCGACGACAGGCTTCCGACGCCGCTGCGCTCAGGGACTCTCTTGCCGCTGTTGAAAAGGAAAAGTCCGCTGCGGCGGTGGAGTTAGAGGCAGCGCGCACGGCCGCCAAAGTGCGTGAATCGGAACTGCGCGCTCTCGTCAAAGAGAAAGATGAGGTGCGACTGGAGGCTGCTCGTGCTGCGGCGGACATCAACGAGAACATGCAGCGGATCATGCAGATGAAGACAGCCGCTGACGCGTATCGCGCTGAGACGGACTCGGTGATCGCCTCGCTGGAGAAGAAGCTGACAGAGGCGGCGGAGCAGCAGAAGGCCCTCCGCGACCGATTGGAGGAGCGTGAGCGCCGCCTGGCAGAACTGCAGTCCGGCGCTGATGATTCCTCTCGCCAGTACCAGGCAGAAGCGGAGGAACTGCGGAAGAAGGTCGCCGAAGAACAAAAGAAGGTCGAAGAGGAACGACGAAATGTCGAGGAGGAACGTCGAAAGACAGAGGACGAGCAGCGACGAGCGGAGGACGCTCAGTTTGCTGCTGAAGAACAGACCCTGCTGCGAGCCGAGCTGGAAACACGCTCGGCGGAGCAGGCTGCGGAGCTCGACAAGCTCCGTGCTGAACTCGAGGCAGCGCGCCGAGGCGCTGAGGAACTCCGTGCAGCAGGCTCTAGCGAAACCGCTGCCGTGGTAGAACGTCACGCTGCCGAGATAGCCGAGCTGAACGCCAAGCTGAAAGAGCTGCAGCAGTTAAACACAGACCAGGAGGAACTGATCCACGACTCCGCCGGTCAGCTGGAGACGACGGAGAAGCGAGTAGCGCAGCTCGAAGGGGAGATCGCCGCGCGTGACCGTGACGGAGAGGAGATAAAGCAGCGTGTTACCGCTCTGAAGGACTTTGCTGATGGGAAGGCACGAGAAGTCACGGCACTTGCGGAAGAGAACAAGCAGCTGCTGAAGAGGGTGGAAGCGAGCGCGGCGGGGGCCTCAAAGGTCACTGAGGAGCTAGAGAAGCAGCTGAAGGAAGCTAAAGCGAAAGCGGCGGAATCTGACGAGATGTGCGAGTCGTTAAGGAAGGCGGAAAGAGATGTAGCGGAGAAATTGGCATCATCTGAAGAGAAGTGTGGCTCACTTGAGCAGCAAGTCAATGACTTGACCGAGAAACTGACAGGCGTAGAGACTGAGTGTGCCGCGCTGAAGAAAGAAATGAAGCAGGTGTCTGCAAAAGCTCAGGCTTCTGAAGAAGAGTGCGAATCCCTTCGTCAAAAGAGCAGGGATTTGGAAGAAAGGCTCGCTTCTTCGGAAAAGAAGTGTGGTGCACTTGAAGTATCTAACAACGAGCTTACCCAAAAGGTTGCCTCGGCTGAAGAAACAGTTGATTCGCTCAGGAAATCCAATGACGAAGCCTCAAGTAGACTTTCGTCTTCAGAAAAAGACAATGAAGCCCTTCAAAAGACCATTGAGGACTTGAACGCGAAGCTGGCATCTGTCCAGAAGAGCTGTGATTCGTTTAAAGATCTGAACGCCGAATTAGCTGACAAGCTCAACAAGGCGAATGATACCTGCAACGAGCTGAGCCAAATTAAAGAACAACTCACTGAGAAAGTAGCGGCTGCTGACGATTCAGTTGCCACTCTGCGTAAGGAAAACGACAAGTTGTCTGCCGAGCTGAGTGCTGCAGAAAAGAAATGTGCAATGCTTGAGAGCACCAACAGCGATCTAACTGCCAAACTCAGCGCAGGTGATGACACGCATGGCTATCTTCAGAAGGAGAATGTCGCCCTTACAGAGAAGTTGAGCTCGGCAGAAGCCAGTGTCGGCTCGCTACAGAAGGAAGTACAGACACTGAATGAACGACTTTCCGGAATGGAGGAGGCGAGTGTCGCTGCTCAGAAGTCAAACGAAGAGCTGTCGAAGAAACTGCGCGACTCGGAAGGCAACTGTGATTCTCTGAACAACGAAAAGAAGACGCTGACTGAGCGTCTTGTTGATGCTGAAAAACGATGTGAAACACTCCAAGAAAGCAACAAAGAATTGACCTCTAAGCTCCTAACCGGAGACAAAACTAACGAAAGTCTTCAAAGTGTACACAATGAGCTTGAAAAGAAGTTGGATGAACAAGCAAAGGCCTTGGAAGTAAAGACGTCCGAACTAGCATCACTGTCATCACAGGTGTCTGCCCTCCAAGCAGAATCCAAACAATCCTCAACCGCTCTGGCCGCCGCCGAGTCTGAGCTGTCTGGCTTGAAGTCTGAGAACGCGCGTCTTCTTCAGCAGGTTTCATCAGGCGAGGACTCTCAGAAGCTCGCGGAAAGTTTCCGTACGGAAATCGCCGAGTTGAGAGCTGAAATCGTGCAAAAGTCAGCTTCTCTGTCGTCTGCAGAGAGCGCGAAGCAACAGGCGGATGGTCAAGTTAGCGAACTGACTGCTCAGCTGAAAGAGTCGCGGGCTGAAGCAGCTCGTGTGGAAACTGAGCTGAAGAAGCTCCAGCAAAGCTCAGCCGACAGCTCCGCGGCGGCCAGTGCTCAGGAGACGGAGCTTGCAGAGCTGAGAGAGCGTTTGTCTCAAGTGGAAAGATCCACGGCTTCATCGTCACAACAGCAGGAGCGAGCGCTGGCAGAACGCGACTCCGAGCTTGTGGCCGCTCGCGGGGAGGCCGAGACCTCCCGAGCCGCTTTGGCTGAGCGGGACAGCCAGCTGCAGCTGCTTCGGGACGACAACCGGCAGCTGCAGGACCGCTGCCTCCAGCTGACGCGCGAAGCTGCTGCTGCCGAGGAGGCCCTCCGCAGCCGCCCCGCGGAGGTGCCTCCTCCGCCCGCGGCGGCATCGACTCTCACCAATGGCGCAGCCGACCCCACCGCGCATGTCGACTTCCTCAACAGTGTCATCGCCGAGCTCCAGAACAAGAACGACGAGCTGAAGCGGCAGGTTCGCGTGCTTGTCGTTGGCGACGAGGACGACGACGAAGCGGGTGCGTCGTCGCCGACGACTCCAGCACGTCCTGCGCAGCCGCCGCCGCGTCTCTGGTGTGATATATGTGAGGAGTTCGATCGCCATGACACCGAGGACTGTCCTACCCAGTGCAGCGAGCCGCCGGAACCGAACCCGAGCCGGCACGGTGGACAGAGGGGAGTTCGCCGCCAGTTCTGCATCTCCTGTGAGATGTTTGGACACTCCGCCGCCGAGTGCGACTCAGGTGAGACGTTCTAGTGGCGCGGTGAGACATTTTAGTGATGTTTCAAAGAAATGAGTGGTTTCATAACCGTGAGTGAATCGGTCTAGTGCAATGCTCTGCTCTGCGCGGCACGTGAGGGTAACACGCAGCGCGCTTGATACCAAAGTGAGACGTTCCTGCAGCCTTTTTCGGACGCTGACACGATCTGAGCCTCACTTCTGAAGGCCGTGCGGTGTGCTCGGGCGCCCCGCTGAGTCATCCATCCCGAGAGGGCGTTGGAGCCGACCAGTCCAGCCGGCGATAGCCGAGACGGGCGCCGTCTTGGTGGAGAGCGGGTGGACCGTGCACAGTGATAAGCGTGGGTGGTGCTCCAGTGACGCGGCGGGTCGTTTGATCACTGCTCCAGTGACGTCATTAACCAGTACGAGACCGGACCGGGGACGAATCGGCGGCGAGGTGCGGGAGAAGCGGTGTGTTAACAACTCAGATAGCGCGGCCGGGCAGTGAGGAGAAAGCGGCGCGATGGAATCCGATCAACGCCCGGCGGAACGGAGCGGAATGGGGCTGGGTGTGATGGAATGTGAATTACTCAGAGCCAGGGACACGACTCTGGTGGCAGTGGTGACGCAATCAGTGACTCTGACTCGGGAATAGGAAATGAGTCGATGACTCGCCAGATTAGAATAACGGAATAGCGATGAGAGAAGGCTGCTACGCATGACAGGACGCCCAGGAATGGATATGATGTGACGCTGAATATTTCAGGTTGAATGCCGTGACAGTATACGCTAGCTATAATGTGACCTAACTGGCATTTCGATAGCATAAACTTACCGTGACGATTTTGTCGGCTTGCTTAGATATACACCGCTCAATATGATGTAAGCTACGCAACTGACGAGTGTTAGTGGGCATAACATTGTTTAACGTAGGATTAGCTTTGTGATGTGTTCCGGATTGAGCATTGTCTGTCGCCGATGTCACTCTGCCTTACATGTGCGGGTATGTTAGATCTGCGTCTCAAAGTCTATAGGAAGCCATATACGCACCGTTTCGGTCATATCAAATCGTTAATAGTTTTGAGGTGTGTCACTTAGAATAGTCGTATAGGTAGGTCACCAATGCGCGTAGGTCACCAAGTCACAAGGCCACCTATGCTGCCATTTGCAGGGTTGTTAACATGTTGATTGTTACGTCTTGGCACGCAAAACGAACACGTTTATATCGGTCTGTGATTGTAGACTTCCATGATGTACATAATTGGTCACCGTAATTTGACTGGATCCTAGAACCCAGAGAAAACCACAGAGGAATGACATGACGGGGAGCGGACGTGTGTGAGGAATTCTGTGTAGTTTGATGGATGTTGTAGGGCTGATTGCGGTTTATGTCGTTTGCTGTTGTGGGATATGGCGTGGCTGAATGGAGAGAGTTACGTGTTTGTGTTTCCGTTCTGGTGGAGCTCGCTAAACTTTGATTCTGTCAGCGAAAATGCGGTGTCATAGCTAGTCTTTACCGTCTACCCTCGACTGTCTGAATCTCGCTTGTCCGTGCCGGTGCCGTCAGTGAAGGGTCAGCGTCGTGCCTTCGACGTCACTCCTTGGGCTTCGCGCAGCACCCTCACTGACGTCACTAGATCGTCGTTCTCAAAGCTGCACTTCTCAATGTCGCTCGGCTCTCAATGTACCGTCACTTCACTTGACGCTGTATATGCCTCTCAACTATGGGCGAGGCTCTGTATTTGGTTAGCTTGCCGTGTCTAACAGACCAGACATGTGTTAGTGTTATGGTTGGCGACTTGTTGTAAGCTGATCAGCAGTGTTATTCAGTTTCCTCGGGAGCGAAGTGTTTCCCGGTAACAAGCATTATCTCAGTTTGCGTGAAGTTATAAGCCCGGCTGTAACGTGACGTGATAGGCGAGCGAAGTTTATGAGCCCATGCATATCAGTTTATAGAAGCGGCCCGCGTCAAGTGGACGGAGCTGTGTAATGACTCGAGTGTTCATGGCTCGTGTGTTCGAGTCACGACCGCTGGCTCGAGTTATTGGGACGTTTGCTGCGTATCGGCTAACAAAGTTTTAATTTTTAACAAAGCCTGGGCTTAACTTGTGTCGTCTCGGGTGCGAGTTGATTGTTCACAGCAAAGAGTGTTGTTTTATCCGATAACTGAATGAATAAATTATACTCAACCAGAAGGAAACACGACCTTTTTGATCAAGTTAGATAGGGCGAGTTTGCTGACAGGTTTCTGTCGAGTTGCTGAGGACGGCTCTGAACGCTAGACTGATTTACATCGCCCTTGTGCTGGGCTGAATGAATCAAATGGTCTGTCGTCTATCATATTCCTGAAATTCCACAAGTATTTATCCCGAAACTAACTGTATAACACGGTAGGCACTCGCGTGACAGGGGCTAAAGCCTAAGCCCTGCATTACAGCCTGCGGCGACCCTAAACGTCCGAAGCGACCAATACATTTTTGTCGTAAGCTTTCCGTCAAAATATTCTGGGCTTCATTGTATCAATGATTTTAACGGTAGTAAAGTAACGCATGCATTTTCATTTCCCGATTTAAAACAATCGCGATTCGCGGCAGATATTGGCGATTTACCTTTGACAAATACTGAGATGCAAACTCGTCGGGCTGTGATTGTTATTAGTAGTGAAACAAAAGTTGCGGCTCTAGTAAAGGAAATATGACGCATCTTTCCAATTCTTGATTTCCTCTCAATTAACCTCAAGTTGTACAGAATTGATGAAATGATAAAATTTCATAATAGACCAAATGAAATCGCTACACGAATATGTGTTTTTGAAACAAATAAAATTAAAAAGAATTTCAGCAAAACCCAGCTGCCGGTCCTGAAACACAAACGAACTCGCGTGCCGTAGTGCGGCGGAATTGCCGCCTGTTTAACCGACAAAACTGGTCCGTGTTATAATTGATATTTTTAGGCGAGAAATGACATTTTAGAGGTTTATTAGTTTAGGTCGGCTTACCTACCCGCATATAAATGCTTTTATAGTATAGACGGTGTTATTTTTTGCCTAAATATTGTTAAAAGCCCACAGTTTGTATGCGCCGGTTTCGTATGAGATTGGCTGCACGAGCATGCTGGCTGTCTTTGTTTATTTTGCTTGTAGTTTTATAGCGATGAATGTTTCAGAAAGTAATACTACTTCAAATCCTCATTTTTGTTGAAGATAATAAGAAGACAGGTACTGAAATATATTCATTAGTTTGTTTGCTCAGAATTATGGTATTGTTTTGCTGTTGTATTTCAGTCCTTGTTATTATCCTGTGGCTTGGCTCATTATTTTCTTTTTGTTTCGACTTATCAACTTATTATTTAAAGCTGCCAAAGAGAAATTATAATATTTTGGAATGCTGCTGCTAATATTATTACCCATGTGCGTGGATATTGAAGCCTAGGTAGGCAATCTAGCATTGACAAAAACATTTGTGGTCTTGCTGTGTGAGCATTTGCGTTACAACTTATTGGGCTAAGTTTATGCATGCATATTAATTAAAAACAGTTACCTGATTATCAAGCAGTTAACAATTATTTTGTGTTATTTTGTTAATTTTTGGCAGTTTGTATCATTGCGCTTTAGTTGTGATAATAACCACACCAAAATTTGCTTTGAAATAATGTACACCTCAGTTTTCATCCAACTTCAAATAGGTTCAAAATTGCATCAAACCTAAAGAAGAAAGACTTGGCACCTTCTGGTTTTTCTTGGGTTTGTTTTACAACATAAACAAGTCAAGTGTTTGGGAGAAGTCAAGCTAGCAATCATGACCTTTCTTTCTTATTTGTAGGAACCTGCTGTAATTCCAACTTATTATTATTGTTGCCAGAGGGCTGTTCGGGTCCCTGCAGCATAGATCTGTGCTGCGTGCGTCATACTTGGGTGACGTCAACCGCCTGGCTCCGCCCACTCTCCGCCGGCACGCCGCGGCCGAGCGTCGCTGCAGCCTATTTCAAACGCGGCGAACCGTTGCGCGGGTGGACTGGTGATTTTCGCTCGAATAACAGTTAAATTGCGTTCAAATGTGGTTAATAGCAATGTGCCACCGAAAAGAGTGATAATGATACCCAAAAACCAGCATACAAACCGCTTGCAATAAGAAATATTGGATGGCAAACTTTAATCCGCGCCACTTTCGCCTCCTGCAGCACCGAATTTCGTGCTGCAGGAAAACGAAGCATGCTTCAGTAGGTGACGTCACACAGGCGGTGACGCAGTGGTGTGGGCGGGACTAACGGGCGACGCAGTCCTCACTGCGCATGCGTGCTGCAGCATATTTCATTTTGGCTGCGCAGCCGAACAGCCCTCAGTGTTAAGCTTTCAGTTTCTTTCAGTTTATGCTTAAATCTTATCAGTGTCTCCTCAATAATATTCTTAGCATATTTGCTGTTGCATTCATTCAGTCAGTACCAAACATAAAACTTTGTAATGTGCCAGAGGGTGTTATTTAGTGTCCCGCCCAAATTACATGAAAATTATTGGGCAAAATTGACACCCATGTGAGTGGTAGTTCTTGTTACAGGAGTAAGGTAGTAATAGTGTAAGGTAGTGATAGTGGTAAACAGTAAGTTTTGAATGATGACACTCATAATCAGACAAACAGTTTTAAGTTGTTATGATGGACGCCAATGACCACTGTAATCTGGGCACCCAAGAACCCAAATTCATCATCATAAGTTGTTATGAACTGATATAATAATTTCTAATGGTGTTAAATGCTACAATGCTACATTGCGCATTGGACAGGCACTGCCACTGACTGTTCCTTTGAAATATCTCAATATCAAGCCATTTTATTTCAACTGGGTTAAACATAAATTGATGTATATAGATTTGTTGTCTGGTATTTAGTAATCAGGTCAGCTAAAAGCCTTAAAAATTTGAGCTTTTCACAGCTGGTGAATGAATTGGTTTTGCTCTTCATGCCACCCTTGATATTCAATTACCCACAACAGACTCCAAATCAATGCAAGCTATTGGTGAAGTCCATTGAAACAATTCCATGTTGCATCACTTTCACTATGGTCAGCCTGCAGTGCTTTTAGAATGACATAGCACTGCAGGTGGTCTACTCACATTCATATGTAAATTCTCAATGCACCTTTCTGGACAACTTTGGCAAATATGTTTCATTAGAATAAGCAGCTCCAAGCCTTACCTGGCAACATTCACTGCAGTTATCCAATGTGTTTCAATGCTTACATTCTCTTCCTTTCCCCATTACAGCCCCCGTCACCGGGGCAGCGGCACCAGCAGCTAAGCCGGCATGGAGTACAACATGTCGTGGTTCGCGCCGGCCGGCGCGGCCCCCTACCTACTAGCCACCGATCTCAACGACGTGATGCTCAACAATGTCCTGGAGGCTCCGATGCTGAGCGACACCCCCCGCTCGGTGTCTCTGATGGCCGGAGGAGGGGGCGGCGGCGGCGGGGCCGGCGCAGGAGGCGGTGGAGGAGACCAGACGGCCGGACACGATATGGCCGCCACCGTGCCGCAGGAGTTTGTCGAGTGGGGCTACTCGGTGAGTCGGGGGAGGGGTAGAAACGTGAGAGGGGTGGTGTGTCATGAGATGTGGGTTTTGACGGGGTTGGGGGCTGAGTAACATGGGTGAAAGATCAGGGTTCAATGTTATGCAGTTGCATAGTAAATTATTTGGAGAAAAAAAACTAAATGAAAATCATCAAAGATACTGCTGAGTAAAGGGGCCAATAGCCTGTGATATGAAAAGTCAGTTTGTGAATAGCTGAGATGAATCGGTTGGATCGACTTGCATGGACGGGGACCTCTAATCGTGGCCATAACCTTTGACTACCTATTACCTGACCAGCACCTTGTCCTGACCTTCACCATTTTACCCAGAACCTGACCTCGACCCCTGACCCCCATCCTCAGACCTTTAACGACTTACCCCGACCCCGGACCCTAGTGACCTCTGGCGCCCCCGCTGACAGGAGTACAGCGGGTACGACGTGGAGCTGAAGCCAGACGACATGGAACTGGATACCGAGGAGGACATTATGGGCGGCGGCGGAGACGGCAAACGGAAAACGTCGCACAACGCCAAAAAGCCCAAGGTACGAAAACGGAGAGTGAACAGTCATTCTCCAAGAACAGATTACGAATCGATTCTGATGTGTTAACTTTTGAAAGTAGTCTGTTGGTATTCCTCCAGCGTGAGAAGCTAGTTTGTTGATCTTAGTACCTACTTGGAGATTGAGATGTAAAGTGCTAGGAAAACATGCTTATGAAGTGATGTTTTGTCAGTTGGTTCTCTCTGTTAATTGAAGGCTGGTAAACCAAAATTAAGATATCGAACTCATTGTGCACATAGAACGCGAGTCAGTTTAGTTCCACATTGCAGCATCAAAACGACGTGTGCTTGTTTTAGTTCTGAATGCAAGACTATGCCGAATGTTCGCCCCTTGCACGAGATAACGCCCCAGCAACCTCTCTGAATGCGCTCGTATGGAGATGATCTGCCCTAATACCTTGGTCACGGCCCGTGCGGACTAGGACTATATCGTGCGCAGAACTGGTTCATGTTGGACGCTATATCCGGGATCGTGACCTAACGGGAGCCTTGTGGAATGCGCTCCAGTTTCGGGATTAGAAACAATGTGCTAAATTCTCTCCAAGGTTAGACGGCCATGAATATCGTGCATAATCATATGTGCCTTAATCTGATCGCTCTTTTTTCTCTTGGCGGATATTGTCATTTATTTATCGTGCGACAATCGGGTAATATCGATCCATTATTTGTTTCACAATTTTATTCCACTTACTTGAAAGGTACTTGAAAGATGCGATTGCTGGCTTAACTTATTATCGCACGATGATCACTGGTTATTTACGCAAGCTCATGAATGCTTAAGCCCTTTCCGGACCTAACAATTTACCCTCTTACAGGTGCACCTGGACCCCAAGCTGAAACTGAAGGGACCCATCACCTACGAGAAAGACGTCGACCCCTCTCTCATCCCTATCAACCGAGATGGCATGGCCCGCTGCGAGAAATGCGGTGCCATCGGCGTCCGTCACGCCTTCTACACCCGTGAGCGGCGCTACTGCAGTCTGCGCTGTGCCCGCTCCGTGGAGGGCCTGGCCGCGGTCTCCGACAGCGACCCTGCCACGCCCGAGGCGGCGCCGCCCGAGTCTCCGGCC